CAGTTGTTTCCAGAAAAACGCATAATGGAAACCAGAGCTGTCAGAATAGAGATGGCTTAAGAGAGAACCCCAGACTAAGGGGTTCTTAGAGAGAACCCCAAACTAAGTGAGGAAATAACTTCCTGAGTTTAACTCCCATAAAAAGAAAAAAAACCCTGTATGTGACAAGGTAGAAAAACCACCTTGAAAGTCTCACTAGAATATTATGAATTTAAGTATGTAAAAAGCTTAGGAAACATGAAGGACTTGAATTAATCAAATGTTACAGTCTTCAGACTTCCAGGACTTCAAATAAAAGGTTAAAATTTTAGATGTTTGGGCTTCCCTGGTGGCGCAGACGTTGAGAGCCTGCCGGCCGATGCAGGGGACACGGGTTCGTGCCCCGGTCCAGGAAGATCCCACATGCCACGGAGCGGCTGGGCCCGTGAGCCATGGCCGCTGAGCCTGCGAGTCCGGAGCCTGTGCTCCGCAACGGAAGAGGCCACAGCAGTGAGAGGCCCGCGTACCGAAAAAAAAAAAAAAATTTTAGATGTTTAAAAAAATGCTAGAGGGGCAAGATAGGGGAAGAGGATTAAGAGGCACAAACTATTATGTATAAAATAAATAAGCTACAAGGATATATTGTACAGCATAGGGAATATAGCTAATATTTATAACTTTAAATGGAGTATAATCTATAAAAATATTGAATCATTATGTTGTATGCCTAAAACTAATGATATAAATCAACCATACTTCAATAAAAAAAGAAAAGAAATGCTTGTATACGATACAAATTCTGCCCAGATAATATGAAACTAATTTACATCTTAAATCCTTGGTCTTTTACCTTTACCTGCTGTGATACCGGAGAGTACAAATGATACTGAACCAATAAAAATAAGCCTACAAACATTTTGTTTTTCAAATATTACAAATGTTATATAAGGAAAATAGCTTCAAGGGTCTCTCTCTCTCTCTCTCTCTCTCTCTCTCTCTCTCTCTATATATATATATATATATATATATATATATATATATATATATATATATATACCATTACTTAAGTATTTAGTAGTTAAATTTGAATCCATATATATTTTAAAGATTACTTTGCAAATAACAGTCAAGAATTTATCAGGTCATCAAATTTTCATGCTAGCTTTCCCT